TTTTACTTTGTTCGTGTGATTTCGCACTCCCACACAAAATAAAATCTCACTTTTAAGAGGAGTCGCTACGTTTGTCTCTTATGGTGTACATTTTCAGAATGTAATATCTCCATTATTAACATACTTATTATTATGATTTTTTTTCACTATATAATGCGAGGACAGTTTTTTAAACAGTTCATTGTCGTATATTTTTTAAATTTTGTTCAAAAAAAAAAATTTACATCACATATTTTAAAAAATCAATATTTCAATTACTATTTATGAAAATGATTTTGCAAAAATTAAAAAAAAAAGGATGATCACGAACTGTTTTATACTAAACTTCCCTTGCATTATATAAAAAAGTTGTGGACAAATGACATATATTTAAAATTTTACAACCTTAAGTCTTGTTAATAATTGAGATATATTACCATTCTGAAAGTGTACCGAAAATTCCATGCAGAAAACGTAGAACTATATTATATTTTACTACTCGTGGAATAATTTTTAACAATGAAACGAAAGTGTTTTTTTTTTTTTCTAACGGATTCACTAAAATTTCAAATTTATTCAGTATTATAAAATAGAAACAATTCATGTAACTGTTAAACGTCAGACAGAGGAATCATTTATTTATTATTATTTTTTTTTTAATAATATCTGGGTCTCTAGCTAGACAAACTTTTCATAGGCTCATAATGCTTTGGACCAGTTTTAGTTATTTCTTTGTTCGAATTTTAATGAAAAGATAATATATTGCGTATCTACACCTAAAATGTTTGACAGAAGTAATTAAATAACTTATTGTAATAAATTATTACCAATAACCGTCATTGAATCCATTCTTCATTAAAATTAGCAGATGTTAAAAAGTCCTTTGATAGACTCAAAATAACAAAATAAAAGGCTAAGTAGCACTTTAACCACAAGGGTAGATAAAGTGATTGAATTTTTATTTCTGTCAATTACATCATTGTTGTCCATTAGTAGAAGCATCTTTTCACTAATCGTAATTATCATCACTCGAGAATTAACTTCTTTCACACGATGGTTAAAGAAACTCATTATCGTTTATAGCTACAATAATAATATTACAAACATGCCCTTTATTTCACATTATATTATTAGTTACTTTAGATTTGTTGTGTCAAGTACCTGTGGAATTACGAGTTGGCTTCTAGTAATATTCCAAACAGCTAATTTCGATTTGATTTCATTGCTTCTGATTTCAGTTAATTTTGTTGACTGTGCTCATCACCAAAGTCAGCGTGAGTTTAATGTGCATAAATAATTTTAGGAGGCGTTTACAGTACGCACAACATAAACACGGTTTAAATAATACTGTATTTCATCAGATTCAAAAGTGTTCAGTTTCCAAGGTTTTGTGTTATCCAATTTCTATTTTACTTGGGAAAGGAGAAAGACAGGAAAAATCAAGGGAAAAATTAAATGTTTGTGACGTCTTATAAGGGTCATACGGTTCCATTTAAAATTTGCTTGTGAATTCAGAGAATTTAACGGATAGCAGTAACTCTGTGTCTTAAGATTCTAGACAGATCGATTTGGATGAGTTCAGATTAATATGATAATTTTTGAGCTCGACAAATGTTCACGTCTCGAAGAAAATAACTTGCGCTTCTTACACTTGTTACAAGAAAAATAGTTACAACTTAAAGTTTTTATCTCGAAATGGTGGAGGCGCCGGGAGAAGTAGCAAAATAAACACAAAATGTTTCATATTCAATACTGCATACATATATCATATATACAGGTTTTATTGCTTAAGAGAGAAACAAACCGTCATTATTACATTCTTATTTAACAGTTAAGAAGAGTTTCTTTGTCTCTGGGCTGCAGTCATCGATTTTCACATCACGGTACTGTCGCCGAGGGCATCGTTCATCCACGCAAAAAAAGAACTTCTCGAAGTATTATTTCGATTAGATTTCGTTTAAGGGCTTCACTTAACGATCGTCTGAAAGAACCGTTGGTGATTTGTCTTTTCTGATCATCAGCTTTCCGCCAATATTAGATTTTTAACATTCGGCTTCCGCTTTTGATGTCTTTTTTGCCGCATCAACCGACTTTTCGCTCCAAACATCCAAAGGAATTAAATACCGGAACCGTTTGCGTTTATGCACATCTATAATATTTTATTCAAGTAAACTCTCTTTATGAACTGACTTATAGCACCTTAAAACTCATCATCAGAATCTCGGCGTTGCTTAATTAAGTAAAAAGTTGCCTATTATGGTCATAAAAGAAAATCTTGAATACTTTTACCGCTCTTAAAAATATTCGAGCTCGGTAGATGAGAATTTTTATAGTACACCGCGCAGGAATTATTATAGTCCCGCTATTCAAAGATTTGGATTTTTAATATGTAGGGAACCTTCCGATTCCACCATCGATCTTAAAAAGAACGTATTTCAAGCTTCACATTGTTGGAGCGAGAAGTGTTAAGATTAATGTGCGATATCCGGCATAGATGTATCCAAGTAGGCCCACAAATCAACCCCCACTGACGTACAATTAAAATCGAATGCGTGCAGGTCATGTTAACACGGTATTTTTTTCCATTAATGACGGCTGCTCTGTGCCATCGGAAAGGTAAAAGATTTCCCATGACCGTATTACGGCGAGACTGAATTTGATAAGCATCAGAAATGGCGTGACTACATTAGTAACGACAGCGAACAAGTGATGGCTTGTGGTTATAGATACTTGTCTGTTTCATTGTGGTAAATAAATCGCTCTCTCATTTTGGCCATTTACAGCGAAGCGTGGAACTTTTACTGCAATGAAATAAATTGAATGCTTTACGGCCTATACTACACTACTACGCGCGCTATACATCATTTGTAAAGAGCTTTCTGTATTCAGTTTGAGAAACAATCGAGTTAGCGGCTTTTGTTCTTTGCCAGATCGGGTTTTTACATAATGGTCGTTCTCTGGAAACATATTGACGCCAAATGTAATTTAAAAAATCGCTGTTGTACATTTACGCAAGGCGTAGGCCTCTAAACGCTATTCTCAATATTGTATGCTGACTCAGCTAAATTTCGAAAACATATTAGATGTGTTTGTTTGATGTATCAAGTTACAAACAAAGAGAAAAGCGGTACATGTTGTTGGCGGCTATATAAGGAATATATGTAAGTGTAAATTATAACTCGGTCCGTTAAGAAATTCAATTCACGTTCTAATTAATAAGATAAAATTTTCTATACTTTATGTCAGTAAGTTGTAGTGAAAACAAAATTATATTGTCACCTGCTTCTTGCAAGAGTTTTTCAATTTCTTATTTTGTTAAAACTCATGAGCAAGAAAACTAACGAAAACGATTAAATGAATATATTTGGTATCCATCCAGACCCGGTTTACAGAAACTCAATTAAATATTTGATTGCGATTAAACTTTTAACACGGCGTTAAAAATACCACGTGATCGACTCTACGTTAATCAGACGTCGCTAAAAGCCTCGTTAAGTGCGTGATTAATTTGATCTCAGTGTCTTATATCGTGATATTAAAATTAATTCGAAAGCAATAAAATCTTTGGCCAACTTTAAATCGTAATAAAAGTTTCAAAGTTTTAATGTTAGTTTTAATATTGAATTCGAATGGATAAAGTCACATATACTGAGAAAGAGCAATAAAAAGACAATCAAAGGCAACCATGGATTTGTTAAAGTTTGTCGTACATGCAATTTCAAATTAAAACAAATTGACGATAGTTAATCTGACAAGACGAAAATTCGATCAATGACAAATCGTTGACAATGTTCTAGCAAATACACAAAAAAATACATATTCTCATACATACACTACCGGAAAAACTAATATTTATTGTTACGGATGACCCACTATTGAACTTAATTGCATAACAACTTCAATAATCAGATCTGATAATATAAAAATGCAGTCGTACAAACAATGTGTTGGTATTATAAAAATTTTTTACAGCTGCCTCAAATTACTTGGAATTTATGCAAAAATGAAGAGTACGTATTAGTACAACAAATTTTAAGTTAATACTCTATTAAATATCACAACACAGAAAACACTAATGGATAAAATCCCCACATTCAGTTATTTCTGAACAAGTACCGTCTTGACTCTCCATGATAATTATTGTGTAAGCTGTACTTAATTTAACAGTCTTCAATACAGTGATAGCAACCCTACCCGAATATTGCAATTGTTTTACTCGACACTAATTAGCCATGTCTTTTCAACTCATTTATTGTTTGTTGAGTTAACTAAATTAAAAAAAAATCGTAAAATGTATAAACTAGAGTTTAAAATAAATCCCGTGCAGCGCTTTTTTATTACGATTTCATTGAATTCATTTACCGTGCCGTTTGCTGAGTTACTGGTTGTGAGACAACATAGTTGTGATTAATTAAATAAGTGCTTCCACATTTCCACACCCCCGTTTTGTCAATGTTGGCGTGTTCATTGCCACGACCAGGTGCTGTCATATTTTATTAGTTGCGGTTGAGTGAGCACCTGTGCCACTGTCAGAAGTGTCGATGTTAACCAACATAATCCAATTAGGGAAGGAATCGACGCTCGAATTTGTTTACCAGGATCTGCTCTGTATCCAACTTTGCCAAACGAATTAAAATCCAGTCCGTGTATTAAATTATTCGAGTAGATGGAATTTCTTCGTTGTTTACAAAATTTCACATTTATGTGCGTTGCGAATGTAAACTAATAAAATTAAGCTCGAGTACGAATGCTTCAAACATTTCAAAGACGATATTCAATTACATCAAGCAAATAGCTACCGGCAGCTAGGCAACATACAATACAAAGAATCGAATTTAGCAAACATCCCCCATTTAGAAATGCAGCGACATCTAGCAGACACTAGTCAAGTTCCCGCGATCATCCCTTCACGGTATAGATGGCGACACCAACAACATTTTTTCGAAAAAGCCGGTCTACGTTTTTATTTAATCGCGACTCGTAAATTGTTGTTGCATTATTAATATTAGAATTTTTTTCAGCTTTCCGAACTGGAGCAGAGGGTTTTGGAAGCGGAAAGTCGGGCGGAAGAGGCGGAAGACAAGGTAAGAGGAATACGTTCGCCACCGATTGGAAAAGAGATAGAGGTGGTTGCATGGCAACCGAATTTCACTTTCCCTATCGTCTGTTATTGATTATTTTCCGTCTCGACGCTGGCGGTCATGGCGTCTTTCAGCTGACAGAAAAACAGAGAGTCGCTATAGGTTTTTGTTTCGGGTTTTGTTTTGGTTGTTTTGTTTGTGCGACGTTTCGTTGTTTGTTTGGGGGACATTATCAGGGAAAATGTAAGTGTTACAATGACATTTTTTGTTTTATTTTCATTTACTTGTAAGTGTATGTGCGATTTGTTTTGGATTTGCATCTTAACATAGCATGCAATGAAGAGCTTTGTAGTAGTCGACTTTTCACCCTTTTGTCGATTTCCTCGAAAATTTAGCTCAACTGCGAAGGTAATTCGATGGCAACAAAACTTTTCGCCCGTGAAATCGCAAAGAAAATGGTTTCATAATAAATTATTCAAAAATGTAGATGTTGAACAAACATTCACGGTATATTTTGGACTGATTTTCGTTATTTCTGTAGGAATTTAGCGGCAAAAATGATTTTCCTTCGCGTGAATTGAAATAAACAATCGATAGCACGTGTTTAAATGTCAAGCAGGGTCAGTGACAAAGAGTTGACGCTGACTTTTTTTATTTATTCATAGCACGGAAAGTCGATTATTTACAAGAAAATATCTAGATTTGATTCTCGTTTGTTACCGTTAGTGGTCAATCTAAAGGTTTTATTTATTCAATAATTAAAAAGCCGGTAGGTGCAGATGATGAGTCATTTAATTTTGGTGTACATAAAAGTGGGGTCGAACCCCTTGTCACATGCTATAGCTTTATGTACCTCTGTATGTTTTTAAATCCCTACCGCACGTGCCACGCTAGTTATCACCACATTTTTAAAAAAGGGTTACTCATTTTACATCTGCCGGAATAATTTTCCAAATCCGGTTATTCCGTTCCATTGAGTTGATTTTTTTCTAAAGGAACCTTTTTCGCCTAATTTATTTTTATAATATTTAAAATATACCACGATTGTGTTAGTAGCTAAAACGGATATTAAGCAGAGATATAATCTTTACATGCTGTTTCTGACCTTATGCTTTAGTAGCTGAACATTAAAAAAATAAAAATAGATTTTTTTCTCTGTTTCCTTTGGGAATAATCATTAAAATGTGTTTTTACTGAACAGACAGTATCAGACTGTCGTCTGTAATGAAAGATTGATTTTGGTGTTGTCGCGCAGTCTGCATTTTACAGAAAACATGTTTATTTCATTATATACTTAATTAATCCATGAAGTTCATGAATGAAGAAGAAACATCCTGTATACAAACGAAGAACTTTAGAGACCCTTTTGCAGCATGCTCACGAGTACAACAAGAAATCTTATTTTAAGCACAAAATATTATTTCTGAAAGTGCAACAGCTTTAACCAAAATTTCAGTGTGTCTTTGTTAATCCTCTCCATTCCTCTGTTCTTAAGGTTCTTATTGTGAGGATTTACGACTTTTGCGTTGCTTCATTGTGGAAAACACCATAAAACCCGTGTTTATGCTCATTGCTGACGTCGTTAATGTTGAGTTCAGTATTCTAGATTTCATAGATACCGAGAAGATAAAGCCAAATATCCCATCCTGTTTCATAAATGTAGTGTGTCACTCTTTCAGCCGTTACTTCCAAAAGTTTTCACTTTTTTATTTCTGTTTAATTGGTGGCAGTGAAAGGTTAAAACTCTACATTATAAAATCACCCCTTTAGCCCTACGCTCCTAGAAATATGAATACATTTTCCCCCTATAAAGTATTGTTGCTCTCTTATTTGCATATTTTTGAAAAGCTCCTTTGTTGCGCAGTCTTTGTTTGTATTCACTATTCTTGCCAGCTTACGATTTTCATTATGTATTACGTATTTGTAGTCTTTCGCTTCAGATATCGAAGTTGTTTACACGGGACTAAAACAAATATTGATTCTGAGATGAACTGTTTTATTACAAGGCGTGTCTTTATTATTGATGTGGCGAACTTCTCCAGAAATTCGGTTACGAAACGTAATAAATAATAAGTGAGTGGAAAGCTTCCGTCAATTTTAGGAATACATGGGGTGGTTTAATTTTTTTATGAGCTCTATTATGGAAGGAAAAGTTGATTATTTGACTTTCATGAAAGTGGCAAGACCTGAAAAATTGTAGAACATTGGAGTTATAAATTTTGTGGGGGAAATTGTAGCTGAGGAAGTCTGTCAAACAGAAATAGTAATGAATAATGAAAAAGTATCGACTCTAAGGTTGCGTTGTAAGACTTTTGGCTTGTCGACCTCGTATCAAATGAATGTGTCTTCAAAGTTGTTCTAAATTTTGTGTTTTCTTTCATCATTATATGAATATTAATAATTATTGTTGATCCACCACCATTCATGGCTAAGCTAATCTTCAGTTCTTTATGAGACATTAAAACTAGTATAGTTACAATTTCGATTGTTTCATGTTATCAACATTTTTTATTCTTAATATACGAACAGTAGTATCGAATCTACACCAAATTATAACACAAAGCTGCCCCTGTTTTGTCTATGATTTTAAGTTTAAGTTTATTATTTATATAGCAACTTGAATTTTCAGGCATGATAGCGATAAACAACCTTTTTTCACAACTTATCTTTGTATATTAATTCAAATATAATTGTCAACTATAATTTCATGTCATAAAATGTCAGTTTTGTAGATTCGAAAACAGATGTAAATACAACAAATAATGCATAAGTGTCCACAAGGTAAATTGACACCTTTACACTTGTATCATAAATTAAAGTCGCAGACAAAACTTAACGACAGAATGTTAATTTTTTAGTTATTTATTTAGTCTTCGTGAAACTTTGCTAAAAACGAATTTAAGATATAAATATTCAAAAAAACTTAGAATTGAACACTATTTTATAGTGTAAAATCTCAGTGATTATAAAGCAGAATCGGGATACATTTTTAAACCATATCAAAAAATATGCGAAGCTTTTGGAAAACAACAACAACTGGATTGTCTGTCACAATGTACTTTTCAAATCGCTGTAATTTTTTTTTAAACACGTTATAAGGTGTATGAAGGAGAATATGTATATGTAGCTATGAGTTTTGTAATGAAGGATGTAACACAAAAGTGACTTATTTACTTTGTTGATCTATAAAATAAAACACTTCGTACATTTCATATTTAAATATATTTGTATATTTTTACGATAAGTCATATGTGAAGTTAAAAATATGTTCATATAGGTAAAGAAGCATGTAACTATAAATTTCAGGCAAATAGAACATTAAAAACAAGAATTCACGAAAACTGAATAATGTTATTTTTCGCTATTTCTGGCTCAATTTAGTATCTTACTCAAATAAAAAATCCCTGAGATAATTTTAGAGGTCAAATGTAAATTGTCCAAATTTGTTTTTCATTGAACCATAGTGTATTCAGCTGTGCATGTCACTACAGTATTTTATGATGACGTCATCTGTTACTAGAAGCCTAATAAATAAAACAAAAGTAAAAACCAATCTTTAATCTTGAACCCCCGTCCAATCATCTTTCTTTAACGTCACAATTATAACATAATACCTGTCACAAAGCCAAATCGACAACCTTTAAACGTATAGATAACAGCTTCAGCAATGTATCACCCTTTTGTGACGTTACAAATCAATTTACCCTTATTGAATCAAACACTTGGGGGGTTGGCAAGTTCCGCCACATGTTTTTGTCGCATGTCCAAACAACATTGTTCATAGAAAGTCCAAACCGTCTTTTCATTTGATAGATGTTTCAGCTAACTTTTGCCCGTTTTTCAACCTCTTTTCATCCCCGAATTGAATGGGAGTCCGCATTAATTAAAATCACCCCATCCATTTCAGAAATCAGTCTTCTGCCAATGACAGCCTAGAAGACCGATAGTGACCGTTTCCATTTATCATAGCTCCTATCAGCATTTCGCTTAATTGAAATAGTGGGGTGTAATTCGATATTTGTCAGATTTAACGATACAACCCCGTCTTGTTTGTTTCCAACCGCATCGGAAGCTAAAGAGGGTGGTTACAATGGCCGATGGCTCTCCCCCACTATGGGGAAGTTTTGTGACAAGCGTCGGGACGCCTTGGCGCCGCGTTCACATCGGCATGTACTCTTTTTCAGCGATTGCAGAGACTGTATGCGACTTGGTGTTAGGACGTGCAAACTTCATACAGTTTCGGCTTTAGTTGGCAGCGAACGGTTTCATCGCGTGGATGTAGTTGGGGAGGTTTAACAGTTTTAGCACCCTCGTAGTTCTGATTGGAGTGTGAGTGAGACTGCAGCAAAATGGAATCACGGGGTAAATCACATCTGCTTTGTTTGTTGGGATATTTATTTATAATTGGTTAGTAGCCGTCATGAAGTTTTAATTAGGGGTCATGTTTTGCTCTTATTTGTAAAATGTGCGTGGTTTTGTTATTGGCTTTGTGTTGTTGGAAGCTACTCTAAATTTATTAACCTGCGGTTTAGTTTTGGTTTATTTTAGATACTGAAATAACCGTTTCATTTCTCTTATGCTTTGTGAATGCGAGCTGTATGTAATTAATATTTTTGGTGTTTTGGAAGCGATGGAAATGTTCCGTGGATGAATTTGCTGTAGGGGTCGTTTCTCGTGGTTTTCATTCGAGAAGGAGTTAATGTTTCGTGGTTTCTTGATAATGAGAACAGTGTTCTTGCTATATAGGTGATAAACAGCTATTGTATAATTAAATAAACAACTAATCTGTCACTGTCTTTTGCATATTTTTTTTACAATGTTTGCCCCTACTGCAAATGAAAAAAAAACAGTTCAGTGAACTAATCTGAATTAAGTATACCTAATGTATCAGATTCTTTTAACAGATGCCGTCAATACGCTCACAATAATGTTTCCAATCAAAACTGTCTGGTACAGATACACCATTCATTCTATAGCAGTCAACACTCACTGGTGCTAATATG